CTGTGTACAATGTTCTCCTGGTTCTGCTCACTGCACTCAGCACCAGTTCACGTAAATCTTTCCAGGTTTTTCTGAAGTCCACCTGCTCATCATTTCTTATGGAACAATAGTATTCCATTACGTTCATATACCACAACTTGTTTAACCATTTCCTAATTGATGGGCATCCTCTCAAATTCCAATTCTTTGTCACCACAAAAAGAGCTGCTATAAATATTTTTGTACATTTAAGTACTTTATTTTGGGATATCTTTGGGATACAGACCTACTAGTGGTATTGCTGGGTCAAAGGGTATGCATAGTTTGATTGCCCTTTGGGCATAATTCCAAATTACTCTCCAGAATGGTTGGATGAGCAGAACAATGTTTTTGAAAGCATAAAATACATAGAATTAAAAAAAATTATATTGAAATATAGTTACTTTATATTTATATATGTATACATACATACATATATGTTTGTATATACACACACGTACAAGTATATATGTATACATAAATGTGGGCAGTTAGGTGGGCTTGGAGTCAGGAAGATTCCTCTTCCTGAGTTCAAATCTGGTCTCAGACACTTAGTAGCTGTGTGACCCTGGACAAGTCACCTAACCCTGTTTGCCTCAGTTCTTCATCTGTAAAATGAGCTGGAGAAGGAAATGACAAATTGCTTCAGTGTCTTCGCCAAGAAAACCCCAAATGGGATCAGGAAGAGTAGCACACAACTGAAAAACAACTGAGCAACAACATACATAAATAACTGAACATTGTTCTATAGCATCATTTTCTAGCCCTTGGGTTCTTAACCTGGATTCCATGAACTAATGTTTTCATATGTGTGTGTACAGATACACAAATCATATATACACATATGTGTACATACATATACACATGTATGTATATACGTATGCACATACATACATATAAAAACAAGTTCATGGACTGCAGGTTAAGGATCCCAGGACCAGAACATGATGCTATAGAACACTGCCTGATGTAACATTTCTAATTCTGTTGGACTTTGTCTCAAAGGGCATGACAAAGATAACATATTTCAAAGGCTGGAAGAACATAACCTGAGGGAACGACAGAAATGTTTACTTGTCACTGACTCATTTCTGTAGCTACAGTTCAAAACATCTGAGAAGCAAACATCTGCCCAAAAAGTGTGTGTGAAATATTCCCCGACACTGCCAGCAGCCATTTACTCTTCAATTCACAATACTGAATGAGTTGCCTGTATATCAGGAGCCTACTTCCTGAGATCCTTTATTGTTGTTATTCAGTCTTTTTTTCAGTCATGTCCGACTCTTTGTGACCCCATTTGGAGCTTTCTTGGCAACGATTCTGGAGTGGTTTGCCCTTTTCTTCTCCAGCTCATTTTACATATGAGGAAACTGAGGCAAGCAAGGTTAAGTGACTTACCCAGGGTCACACAGCTACTAAGTGTCTGAGACCAGATTTGAACTCATGAAGATAAGTCTTTCTGATTCTAAACCCAATGCTCTATCCATTGCATCCTAATGGAAGTTATGTTTCTAAAGTGTGGAGCAGGGCCCTTTCTTCTTCCACCAAATTGATTAAGAAGACGAATACAGACAAACTGTGTGTTTCTGGGGCTGGAGGGGGGAGAGAAGGGTCAGTGTTTCGTAGGGTTCAATTAGAGCTGGAGTTCTTCCATCTTTCACTTAGCACAGAACCACCAGTGGACCTTACTGGTAGTCGTTGAGAAAACTTTTCAGAGAAAACCACAATTAACTTTTTGTCCCCCAGAGAACCTATTACTGAGCTGTAAAACATGGCTGGTATTCAATAGTCAAGTCAACAAACTCTTGTTGTGTACCAGTCTCTGTGCTAAATAATGGGGTGATGGATCCTGGTTAGTAATGCTGCAAGAGATGCTTTCTTAGCATAGCAGAACTACATTTTTTATTCAGTACTCAGTAGCTGGAGATGTATATCCCCTGGGTCTTTTGTGTTAGGAAAGAGCCTCTGATACCAAGGTTGTACAAATAATAGATAATATTGCCATAGCTGAAGCCTTTAGTGTTTACAAAGTATTTACCCCCCAATTTCTGACTTAGGTGGTACATTTTAGTTTTGTTTTTACAAATGTGTGTATTGAGACTCAAAGAGATAAGTAACCTGTTCCACAGCTAAAAAGTAACAGAGATAGGATTTTGAGTTCGTTCTCCTGAATCCAGGAAGAGTTCGTTTTCCATCATTTTTGTCTTTCATCAGTTTCCCCACCAACTGCCAAACACAACATACTGATTCCCACCTTCTTTGCCTTTTCTCATGCTGTTTGCTGGATCATAGAGTATGTGGAGTGGAGTCAAGTGAGAGATGTGAAATGTAGGAAGGAGCGAGGTTATGAGAGGCTATAAAAGCCAAACAGAGGATTTTCTGTTCGATCCTGGAGCTAACAGGAAGCCCATGGAATTTCTTGAGCAGTGCGGGGAGGGTGATATGGTGATGGCTGAGGGGAAGATGAACTTCGATCTAGAGAGAGAAGGCAGGGAGGGCATCGCCTCCCACATTCAGATAAATGATAGGTCCATGCTCTTGGTCTTAGACCCAGGCTTCTACCTCCCTTCAAGGTTTAGGTCAAGTGCCAAGTACTTCAAAAAGTCCTTGCTAACTCCCCCAATCATTTTGTATTTACTTTGTATATAGTCGATATTTACTTTTCTGTTCACATAAGACATCAAAAGTGGCAGATAATTTCCTTGAGGGCAGAGATTGTTTTTCTTTTGTATTCATATCCTCGTCAACTGGCCCATAGGGATTAGGAACAGAATCTGTGATTTTACTGGTATAGGGAACTATTTGGTAAAGAAATTCTCTCTACCAAGTCGAAGTGGATATCTCATCTTCAACTTCAACTTAGCATATGTACTTGTTGTCTTCCCCAATAGAATATAAGTTCCTTTTTGAACAGGGATTGTCTCATTCTTTGAACTTATAGCCCCAGAGACCTGTATAGTAAACCAACAAGCATTTGTTAAGACCTACTATGTGCAAGTTGACAAGCATTCATTAAGCGCCTATTATGTGCTAGACACTGGGCCAAGAACTGGGGATACAAGACTTAATAAATTCTAGTTGAATGATAGTGTGGTAGTCTAGCTATTTTTCATTTTCATTTACTTATTTTTGTCTGGCTATTTTTAGAGCTGTTTCAAGGAACTAAATTGACCATGATAGTGTTGGTGTAGGATAGGATGACTCTCAAAATTTTAACATTTCCCACTTTCTCCCTCCCCCCTTAGGCTCCGATTCTTGCTCTTCTAATTATTAGCTTATCTGATTTGGGCAAGTTACTTCATATCTCTCGGCCTCAGTTTCCTTAATTGTAAAATGAGTGGTTAGATTATTGATCTCTAAGGTTCCTTCCAACTTTGAATTGGTGATTTTATTGCTACAAAATGTTCTTTTCCCAGTTAAATTTTAAGGGAAATAGTTCTTATACACCTCTCCCCTTCTTCCCAATTGCTTTCCTCTTCCTTCAAAGGATTTCAGTTGGACCTGCAACAGCTTAAACAAGCATAAACCGTGATCTTCTACATCATAAGCAGACGATGAATCTCAACTTACTTCTTGCTTTAAAACAACTAACTAGTTTGAAAGTCTTCTTCCACTGCTGCGTCATAGTGGGAGTAAACTGTGGATTCTCGAAAGTTCTGCCAATGGAATCCCACTTCTGGTAGGTCCCACCAAGATGGAATGGCAATCAGTTGAAACATAACTGTCGTATGACAACTTAGTCAAGCTATGTTGGAAAGGCTCATAACCAGTTTGACCACAGGGTGGGTGGTAAAATCCTGTGCCACATAGCAACTTTTTTTTTTTTTTTAGTGAGGCAATTAGGGTTAAGTGACTTGCCCAGAGTCACACAGCTAGTAAATTTTTATGTGTCTCAGGCCAGATTTGAACTCAGGTCCTACTGATTCCAGAGGCAGTGCTCTATCCCCTACACTGTCTAGCTGCCCCTTACACATAGCAACTCTTGAAGGTACTCTACTGAGTTCCAGAGGGGCTGCAGTATGCTTGGGTGAATGCACCCATGATGATGAAATCATAGATTCTTCAAGTATTCAGATGACAGTTGGGATGGGTCAATGGTGAATGTATGAAAAACAAAGTACAAATCTATGCTGGCTCTAATTCATGGAACAGGGCTCAGGGGCCATGTTTCAAATTTCTTTTTGTACTTTCAATTTGTATCATTGGAGAGAACTTTCAATTCAATGTGATCCCATACTAATTTAAATATTTAATTAGGTCCTATATTGCTTGAATCAACCTAAACAATTCAGCACAATACTTATTATGTACTTTGCTATGTACAAGACACCTGGCACAGAAACGCAGAGAGTGCCCAACAAATACTTGTTGAATTAAAATTTGAAGGTGCTGCCTCCAGCCAGTGGAATATCTTTCATGGGTCTGGGTGTCAAAAATCAAACATCATTTACAGGGCTGTATTTTTTGAGGATATCTGACAACTGACCGGTGGTGATGAGGAACTCTATAGCAAAGAAGTTACATGTGAAAAATGCAAATTTAGGAACAGGAACTGAAGAAGGGAGAAGCAGGGTGGACTAGATAGGGAACTGGAGCAGCGGGTGGGCTCCCTGAGTTCTAGTCTTCGTGCTATAATCCTGTGCTTTGCCGCTGCTGTGAAATGAGGAGGGTAATCTTTGCCGAGCACCCCAAGTTCCTCAGATGTAAAACTTTAAGAGCCTAGTTCTCCTCTTCCTCCTAGAAGCATCACCAGTTCTGGCACTGCACTAGACAGTGAATTGGAGCTAGGATCAATGTGAATTTTCACTTCTGCCATTCGCTGTTGAGCTTTCTTGAGGTTCAGCGATGTTTTAAGAAGAAAAAAAAAGGAGGAGGAGGAGACTTATTCCATTTGCTTGTGATTGTGGGAATTCTTGACTTCTGTTTGCTTAGGTCAGGGTTGTTGGTCGGTAAGTCAGATCCTTTAAAAGAAGGAGGGGAGGGGCTGGAGAGAAGGGAAGAGGAACATAGAAGAGATAAGGCAGAGGTGCAGTTTCACACTGGTCAAATTGCTTAATCCCTCCTTTCCCCATTTACTACCAGAGATTTGGGGACAACCAGGTTCCCTCTGCTTTACTTACCCTTCTTTTCCTCACCATGGTCAGAGAAAGCAGCCCATGCCGGAGTCAGAAATGTAGGTGCCTCTTGCTGGGACTCACAGTCATCCTAATCTTTGGGGCTGTTGCGGTCTTTGCTGCTGTGATCTTTGCCGGCAGGAGGGACCCACCAGCTGTGTTGCTTCAGTGGAAGGGAAGAGGATCCACAGACAATTTGAAAGAAATCATGCTGGGGAGATGCTTCACTTATACAGAGATGGTAAACCCAGAGCTGAGGTAAGCGATGGGGGGGGACCCTGCTTTTTGCCATTGGGCAATCCTCAGGCAAACAGCTCTGGCAAAGGAACAGTGCAAACTTCTTTAAACAATCAGCCTACTGTTTGGGATCAGCTAGAAAGGAGGAGGGGAGGCAGGCACCTCAAACGCTTAAAATTCTGCACTGGACATTATAAATTCTTGTCAGTTGGCTTGAGGGTGGAGGGAAGGAGGGTGAAGGGAGGTGTGTGCCAGTGTGGTAAGGCATGCCTACTTAGGAGATGAGACTGTTCTAGATTTTACTCATGGAAACCACCACTCTTCCAATTCTAACCACATACTATCGACAGAAGACCCGGGTTCAAAACCCAGCGGTGCCACTTACTGACTCTATGAACTTGGGCAAGTCCTTCACCTCTGAGGCTCAGTTTCCTCATCTGTAAAATGAGAGGGTCGGATGAGATTGTTTTTAAGGTCTTTTCTAGCTTGAAAGCTGTAATTCTGAGTTCTGAGTCACTGACTTGGCCTTCACATAGCATCACAGAAGCTTGATGGATGTGTGGGGTGGGGGTGGAGGGGCAGGAAAGAGAATAACTATTCATTTTGTTGTCTAATATCATGTTTGTGTTCACAGTGTACATGTGTGGGTGGAGTTGAAAATGGTGTACGCATACTTAAGTTTGGTCAATTTGTCCTTGAGTGTGTTCCCATTATTTTTGTTGTTGTTCAGTCCTTCAGTTATGTCCAAAGCTTTGTGACCCTGTGGACCATAGCGCGCCAGTGCTGTCCATGTGGGGTTTTCTTGGAAAAGATACTGGAGTGGTTTGCCATTTCCTTCTCCAGTGGATTATAGCTGTCCTATTCAAGTTCACATAGCTAGTAAGTGTCTGAAACTGGATTTGAACTCAGGTCTTCCTGACTCAAGTCCCAGTGCTGTATCCGCTGAGCCACTGAACTGCCTCCAAAAAAATTTTTTTTTCCAGTTGTGTCCAACTCTTTGTGACTCTATTTGGGGTTTTCTTGGCACAGATACTGGAGTAGTTTGCCATTTTCTTCTCTGGCTCATTTTACAGATGAGGAAACTGAGGCAAATAGAGGTTAAGTGACTTGCCCAGGACCAAAGAGCTAGTAAGTGTCCAAGGCCAGATTTGAACTCTCATCTTCCTGACTCCAAGCCCAGTGCTCTATTCACTTAGCTGCCTATATTTTACGCAGTTAAAATTAATCAAAATGATTGGGGCAGTAGGGAAGAAACATGAGATTTGCTTGGATTGCCAAAATGCTTCCAGGGCTCCTGAAATCAAGAAAAACCATATGTGGAAGGTGTTTATGCATCTCTTGTCTATTAGGAAGTAGAAAGAGGCTTAGAGCATCACCTTCCATCCCAAACAAATTTCAGCAATTGTTATAGAAAGCAGGGTCTTCTTTACCTGGTTGACTAGAGGCAGTGTGGTAAAGTGGAGAGAACACTGGACTCTGAGGCAGGAATACCTAAGTTCAAATCTTGCCTCCCTCAGGCTCCTACTGATCATCTTACCCAGGGCAAATCACTTGCTATGCTCTGTGCCTGTTTCCTAATCTATAACACAAAAGAATTGAACTCAGTGACTTCTAAGGTCCATTTCAGCCCTAACTCTCTGACTGTTCCATGCCACATCACTGTGTACCCACCTCCACCCACTTTTCCAACTTCCCATTATGTATTGTCTTTCTCCATTAGAACGTTAGCTCTTACAGGGCAGGGATGGTTTTGTTTGCTCATATCTGTTTCCCCAGAATTTTTCACAGTTCCTACCATGTAGTTAAGTGCTTAATAAATGCTTAAAAAAGTCTATCCTATATTCTTATGATTTTAGTACTTCATACACTTGGAAAAATCAAATTATCTGCACAAGTTAGTCCATGGTATCAGGGCCCTAGGGGCATGCCCCATTACAAGTCTCCCAGGACCAGCAAGCATTTAGGGTTCCCCACCTCTGCCTGGACACCAACTCAAGGAAATCAATTGGACAGAGATAAATATGAGGGCACAAGGGAGGTTATAGCCATCTGGTCCTGTTCTGATGGTTGAAGATTTCCTCATAAGACTTTTAAGGGTTGAGATAAACTTAGATAGCCTATAATTTAACGTTTTCATTTTACAGACAAGCAACTTGAGACCCAGAGTAGGTTAAATGACTTATTTGTCTGAAGTTGTATGTTGGTTGACTGCCAAAGCTAGGTCTCCTAATTCTAGACTCAGTGTTTGTGTGACAATATAATGCTGCCTCCCTAACCTATAGCAGACTTGGAGGAATTGGAAACAATATGATGGCTTCAGAACAATAGAGTCTGGGTTAGAATCTTGGTTCTACTACTTAACACTGGGTGACCTTGGTCAACTGACTTAGGATGCAAGAGTTAATGATTCCAGGGAACTAATGATGAACTATACTACACACCTCCTAACAGAGAGGTGATAGATTCAAGATGCAGAGGGAGAACATGGACAATGTAGAAATTTGTTTTACTTGACTATGCATGTTTGTTATAAGGATTTTGCTTTAACTTTTTTTCTTTTAAATTTGGGGGAAGGGCAAGAGAAAGAGAAAATAAATGTCAGTTGAAAATAAAATGTAACGTAATTTAAAGAAATAAAATACAAGGATTGGACTGGATGGCCTCTGGGATTTTCCCCTCTCTCACCCCCCAACTTTAAATCTATGAATCTACCCAGCTTTGTAATGGCTGTCCCCCATGCCTGGAATGTGCTCCCTCTTCACCTCTGCCTCTTAGAACCTCTGGCATCCTGTAAGACTCAGCTCCCATGCCACCTTCGGTAGGAGGCCTTTCCTAGTCTCTCTGGCTTCTAGCTCCTTCCTCTCTATCTACTTTAAATGTGTATTGACTATACCTATTTATGTAAATGTTATCTCTCCCTTTAGAACATAAGCTTCGTGAGGGTAGAGACTGTTTTCACTTTTTCTTTGCATTCCAAGGCTTGGTACATTGCCGGGCACATAGTAAGTGCTTAATAGATACTTATTGATTGATAGATTAATTGATGATTCCTGAGCTAAGTACAACAACCCGAATGCCTTGGTGGAACTAGGTTCCTTTAGGTAGTTCAGAATCCTGGGACAACCACTCCCCACTAGGTAAAGTCACAAAGAAAGTCTTAGACAATCCTATAATAAGTCTTCCTTGGGAAGACTACATTGGCAGTCTCTGATTTCAGTCTAATGCCAGCCTCACTCTACTTTTTCAGTCCTTAACTGAGGTGTGGATTACCGGTCTGCTCCCCCCACCACAAATGTCTCTCTCAGGTGAGATGGAACCAGGAAGGGTTGGTTATACAAAGAATAGTGATTGTTGCTGACTCCCTACTGAAGCAGCTATTTGAGGAAGTGATAATAAGACCCCTTGGGAGAGCCAATCAATCAATCATCAAGAATTTCTTAGAGCAGAACCAGTTTTTACGAGAGCACGACATTGTAAAGAAAAACAACCTTGAAAGATTTAAGAACTCTGATCAAAGCAATGACCGGCCATGTCTCCAGGGATGCTATGCTGAAGTGTACTACACATCTCTGAAAGAGATGTACGGATTCAAGGCACAGAAAGGGATGTATGTTTTTGGACATGGTTATTGTGTGGATTCATTTTGCTTAACTATGATGAATTTTTAAAAGGCTTTTTTTTCTTTCTCTTAGTTTTTAATGGGGAGGGGAATCTTGGAGGGGAAAGGTGGGGTTAGTAATAGGAATACCAAAAAAAAGATCCACTGAAACTTTAAAAAAATACACACAGATGAGAACAGAATGAAATACTGAAGGAAAATCAAATAAGCATGACATTTTTGAAAGTAATGTGTGGAATTTATTATGTAATGTTTTTAAAGCAAAAGTTATAAAACAGATTCCCAATTTTATTCACAATCAGGAGTGTAATGGTAAATGTGTAACAACTGGCAAATACTTTGGGGAAATGTTCATAACACACTTTAAGTTAAATCTGCATTATTAATATTTTCTCCATCACTTTCTTAAATCTAGACAATTAACAATAAATCAAGCCCTGATTTGTGCTTTCATTCTGATTTCTGAAGTATTAAAGCTCACCCTGAGAATTTGTCCAGTGCTCTTTTTGTATTGATTGGAGAGAAACCAAGGGAAATATTTAAAAATGAAAAACAAACAGGTATATGAGGAAAACATAGGGTCTAGGGAGAAAAAGGTTTTTTCAGGTCAGAGAGGGGAAATATGTTCTCCAGCATTTTTACAGGGTTGGGGGCTTTGGGGGTCCAAGGCCTGCACAGTGAGTTGGCAGCGACAACTCTTTGAAGATCTATTGATGAAGCTGTAAAGCTGAACAGCACAGACAAGACCAGGGACTTGATACGCTGTAATAGAAGCCACCACAGTCACTGTCATTATTTTGTCTGGCCAGGTGGATCTCAAAAGTAACATGGGTGTGTGTGTGTGTGTGTGTGTGTGTGTGTGTGTGTATTCTGCTGTGTATATAAAATGCTCTTTATTGGTGTTAAAGTTCAGACTTAAATATTAAAATTAAACCCCTATCCCCAAGCATCTATTAAAAGCTTTCCTTGGACCAGCCATTGTGCTAGGTGCTGGTGGTACAAAGAAAAAATGAAATAGGTGTTTCCATTCTATGACAACATGCACATAAATAAATGTGTGAAAAATACATTTTTTTACTAGTTTAGGGATGGAGACCACTAATAGCTGTAAGGGTAGGGAGGGCATCAGTAAAGGCATGAGCTGGGTCTTGAAGGTAGTAAGGGACTCTATTATGAGACAGAGGGGGCATTCATTGCAGGCATTCAGGAAAACTCATATGTGACCAGCAAGTATATTCTGTCAGAGCAGAAAGTGCTCACTAAAGTTGGGAGTCCCCTCTTGATCATTTTGAAGGGGATGGATGCCCATCTTTTTCTGGGATCCTCCACTAAGACCATTGGAATCATCCTTAAAACCCTGGGGGTTGGGGGGAGATAATTAACTGCTTACCCTGGCAGGGTC